GAAGCCCATGTACGTGCGGGAACCCCCCGAGAGGAGGGAAAGAACTAACCTGAAAGGACAGTAGGAAATAGTACCTGGTGCTCACACTGGGACCAAAAATGCATGCTTACACCCTCCAGCCAAGCTGGGAAATCCCATAATTCACAGACCATTGAGTACACAGAAAGGTCTGCCTAGGTAGGGTAGAGTAATTAACTCTGGACTAAATGATGTTCTGTTTCCTTAACAAGTCTTAAATACCAGACTCAGATGTGTCAAATTAGTTCCAAGTAGCTTCACCATGTCCCCGAACAGAGCTTAAGGCATTTGCAGGAATATGAAGATGCCCAAAACACAACAGGGTAAAATTAAAAATGTGTTATGTTCCATCAGAGATCACATGTGCAGAGAAGTGAAAATGGGGCCCATGCTGAGGAGAAAAATCAATCAGTTGAAACTGACACAGATGCTAGAATTAGCAAATCAGGATAGTAAAATATTTTTTATGTGTGTATTCCGTATGTTCATAAGTCGGGATATGGAAGATATAAGAAAGACCCAAATTAAAGTTCTAGAGGTCTTTGATTCATTAATATCTAAGATTAAAAATGCACTCCATGGGATTGATGATAGATTAGATATTGCAGAAGAACAGATCAGTTAACTTTAAAACACTAATTGAACCAAACAGTGTGAAACACAAAGATAAAAAAAACAAACCTTTTAAAAGTGAAAAAGGAATCCATAAATAGGGACAACTCCAAATGGCCTAATGTACACTTTATTTTAGTCAACAAAGGGGAGCACATAGTGGGGAAGAAAAAAAATTTTGTTTTGAAGCGTTAATGGTTGAAAAACTTCTATATTTGATAGAAACTATAAATTCACAGATCCAAGAAGCCAAATGAACCCCAAGTTTAAGAAACTCAAAGAAAGCTACTTGCAAAGAACTTTATAAGGAGTTATCCAACACTGGTGATAAAGAGAAAAATCTCAAATGGAGTCAGAACAAAAAAGACACACTATATTCAAAGACACGAAGGTAGGAAATAACATAGTTTTGGATTGTTTTGTTAGAAACACTAAGTGCAAGAGAAGACAGTGGAACAAACTTGTCTTTCAAAGATGAGGGCAAAATGAAAACTTTATTAGGCTGTAAATCGGAAAAAATCACTGAAGGAGCCACATTACAAGAAATATTAAAAGAAGTATTTCTGACAGAAGAAAAATGATGCCAGATGGAAATAAATCTGTACAGATGAAGAGCACTGGATATTGTGACTATATGTTTGGAAGGCAGTTTGCATGAAAAAAAAAGTCTCCTAATTCCCTCCTCCCATAAAAATGGTGTGAAGAAAGTACATAGTGAGGCCACAGTCTCCAGCACACACACCCAAGATTAGTGTTTGTTCCAGCAGAAGCCCAAGAAAGTTTTTATAAATCCTGATTCATATTGTCTTGCCATATTAGAGACTCATCCAGAAAAACAAGAGTGAGGACTCAGACAATAAAATTATAAATGAAAGAGAAGTCACAACTGACACCACAGAAATAAGAGGCTCATAAGGGACTACTACTATAAGCAACTACATGCCAATAAAATGGACAACCTGGAAGAAATGGACAAATTCTTAGAAAAGTACCACTGTCTTAAGACTGAACCAGTGAGAAATAAAAATGTGAACCAAACAATCACAAGTAATGAAACTGTGATTAAAGACCTTTCAACAAAGTCCAAGATCAGATGGCATCATAGGCAAATTTTGTTAAAAATTTAGAGAGGCACTAACACGTATCTTCTCAAATTCTTTCTAAAATTCACAGAGGAAGGAACACTGGACAAACTCATTCTACGAGTCTAGAGTTACTCTGATACCAAAAGCTGACAAAGATTTAGCAAAAAGAAAATTATAGGCCATTATCACTGATGAACACAGGCACAAAAATCCTCAACAAAATATTAGTAAACAGAATCCAACGACACATTAAAAGGATCATACATCATGATCCAATGGTATTTATCCCAGGGATGCAAGGATTCTTTTATATATGCATATCAGTCAATGTGACAAACCATATTAATAAACTGATGAATAAAAATCATAGTATCATCTCAATAGATGCGAAAAAACTTTTGTCAAAATTCAAGACCCATTTTTTATAAAACTCTCCAGAAAGTGGGTAAAGAGTGGGTACCTACTGCAACATAATAAAGGCCCTACATGATGGATACACTGCAAACATCACTCTCAATGGTGAAAAATTGAAAGCGTTTCCTCTAAGATTACAAGGATGTCCACTCTTAACACCATAATTCATTATACTTTTGGAAATCCTAGACATGGCAATCAGAGAACAAAAAGAAATAAAAGGAGTCCAAATTGGAAAGAAGTAAAGCTGTCACTGTTTACAGATGACATAATATTATACACAGAAAATCCTGAAGATGCTACCAGAAAACTACTAGAGCTCATCAGTGAATCTGGTAAAGTAGCAGAATATAACATTAATGCAAAGAAATGTCTTGCATTTCTATCCACTAACAATAAGAGATAAGAAACAGAAATTAAGGAAACAATTCCATTTACCATCACAATGAAATGAATAAAATATCTCAGAATAAACCTACTGAAGGAGGCAAAAGACATGTACTTAGAAAACTATAAGATGCCAATGAAAGAAATCAAAGATGACACATACACCCTGTATGTGTGATGGTGATACACCCTGTTTTTGGATTGAAAGAGTCAATAATGTAAAAATGACTGTCCTACCCAAAGCAATCTACTGATTCTCTGCAATATCTGTCAAATTGCCAATGATATTTTTCATTCAATTAGAACAAAAATATTGTAACATTTGTATGGAAACACAGAAGACAGTGAATAGACAAAGCAGTCTTGAGAAAGAAAAATGAAAGGAACTGGAGGAATCAGATGTCCTGATTTCAGACTATACTACAAAGCCATGGTAATCAAGACAGTATGGCACTGGCACAACAAGAAGAAATATAGATGAGTGAAACAGGATAGAAAGCCCAGAGATAAACCCACACACTTATGGCGACCTAGTCTATGACAAGGGAGGGGAGGATATACAGTGAAGAAAAGAAAGTCTCTTCAATAAGTGATGCTGGGAAAACTTGACAGCTCCATGTAAAAGAATGAAATTAGAACACTCCCTAACACCGTACACCAAAATAAACTCAAAATGGACTAAAAAACATTAAAAAACAAACAGGATATTATTAAAACTCTTAAAGAGAAACACAGAATATTCTTTGGTATAAATCACAGCAAGCTCATTTTTAATCCACCTCCTAGAGTAATACAAACAGTAATAAATGAGAACTAATTTAATTTAAAAGCTTTTGCACAGCAAAAGAAGTCATAACAAAACAACATCAACTCTCAAAATGGCAGAAAATATTTGCAATTATTTGGTAACTGTGGGGAAAAGGAGAGGGAGAGGGTCACCATAGGAGTTGTTTAGTCCCTAAGTCTTGTCTGACTCTTTTGTGACCCCATGGACTATAGCCCACCAGGATCCTTGATCAATGGGATTTTCCAGGCAAGACTACTAGAGTGGCTTGCCATTTCCTTCTCCAGGGGATCTTCCAGACCAAGGGACTGAACCCACATCTCCTGCATTGCAAGTGAATTCTTTACCACTGAGCTACCTGGGAAGCCCCCACTATGTGGGAAGAGGATTTAAAAATGGGATTATGTGAAATTATGTGTGAAACTTTTGAAAAGTGTAAAGTACTAAAAAAATTAAAGAAAACATTGCCATTGCATAACCAAAGTAAAAACAAATAAAATGAAGACAAAAAAAACAAAAAATCTGCTCTTGTGGAAGAGAGCAAGGGTATTCTTAATATAGTTAGAGGACAGACAGGTCCTACGTTTTAAAGATTTCACTCTAGAGCATCCCATGGTAGCAAACAAAATGAACTCATCTTTCCTGGGAAGAGAAATCCCTGTAATGTCTAGAGTTTTGTTCTCCCAAATTGACCCCCACCCTCTTTTTCAGCATTTTTCAGCATTCTTAGAAGTTCTCCCATTCCCCAAAACACAAATGTGCAAATAATTTGTTTCTTAAAAGAGGTTAATTGTGATATTGTGAAAACCTTTTATGAATTTTTTTAGATAAAATATGTAACTTGCTATAATTATGTTTATTAAAAAACTGAAGTATATGGAAAAATAAAACATAAAGATTAAAATATGATATGAGTCCAGTAGTTGAAACAGTCAAAATCCTTGACATACTGAATGAAGCATTTTTCCTTAAAAGTAATCTTTACACAGTGGATTTTAGGTAGCTTTATGGAAACATTCTTCCTTGATTCCATTCGCTGTTTTATAAGGTGATGTATCAAGTACCGCAAAGGTTATTCACTTCTCAATTCACCATGTAATTAGACCTTTGTAATTAGACTCATTGTCCTTCTTGTTCTACTGAAATGTAAAGAATGAAACATGAAGCTTTAAAAGCATTATTTCCCTTCATCTGCACTATTAAGTAATATGAAGATGAAATTAGTATATTGAGACAACTAGATGGCCAGTAGGGACTAAACACAATGCTCCAAATCATATAAAAATAGTTTCTTTATTATGTGTTTCACTTTCTGTGACAGGAGTATCGATATCTGTTGGGTACTGGACATTTGCCAGACATACCACAGGCTTATTCTTCATGGTCAGTGTCTCGTTTAATCTTCACCTCAACCTAATAAGTATTGTAAACCCATTTTACAGGCAATGAAAGTAATCCTTAGAAAAACTGAACAGCCCATTCAAGGCCCTGAGACTGACAGGTTCCAGGACTGTGATATGAACTCAGGTCTGTCTTAAATTCTCATCCTTTCTTCAAGGCCACATCCGCAACTTCTGCTTCTCAAATTGGACGTCTTGAAAAAAATCCTGGTTTTCCCCCTTGACCATCCTGTCTTTTTGGTCTGATTTCCACTTTCTGCATAGCTGATAGAATTTATCTTTTTGGTGGTTTTCTTTCAGGAATTACAGTTTGAAAGGCTGACCCGAGAACTGGAGGCAGAACGCCAGATCGTCGCCAGCCAACTGGAGCGATGCAAGCTTGGATCGGAGACGGGCAGCATGAGCAGCGTCAGGTACTGGGCACTCTGCTCCTCGGGGCTGGGCTCTGTGCTGCCAGGGGAAGGACATTGTAGTGTTTATCTTCTCCTTACAAACGTGGCAGTGGCATTAGAACACTCAGTCAGGTGTTGGAAAGGAATCGTGACCGACCTGATTTAAGATGTTCAAAAGGTGTCCGAGGTGATTTGTGCTTGAATCTCTTTTCATAAAATGAACACTTGCTCTGAATGCAAATTGTGTGTTGTTTTACACAAAAAGGACGCTTTGCATTTAGTGAGTTTGCTGGAAATGAGGAGATGCTATGTCACAGTCTCTCAGTTTGGTTCTTTTTTTCTAAATGATCAAAAGTTGCAGGTTCTGGAAATGAAAGAGAGAACGTTTTGATCTAACGTGCATTGTTTGCTAATATACAATGCTACATTATAAAATTGCTCCTCAAACATCAACCGCACATGCAATTTCTGTGTGTGAAAACATTTCGTAGATAGAATGATTATTTGATTACAGGTTGGTATGAGATTATGAAATATTTAGAAACAAAACTTAGTCACTTGACCACAAAATAAATTATCTGCCTAAGGACCATGTTTCCATATTTAAAAGTAGAACTGTCTGTGTGTGAAAGAAACATAAATAAAGCTCTATAAGATGAATTTCATTTCTAAAAATGCATTGTACTTTCTTGTCATTTTGTTCTATATTGTGGTTTTGACATGCTACATTTTCAGGGAGGTGTCTTCTCTCTTGAGAATCCTGCCATACTCTTTGGCCTCCTGTTCAACTGCATTGTTGGTTACATAACTTCATCCACAGTCCATTATTGAGAACTAGTCACATGGCCCCTTCATAGATGGAAATGGGCAGGGATTCCTGGTCTTGGGGTCTTTGGCCACTCTGCCCAGGAAGCAGAAACATGAATTTAAGAGTCTCAACCAACTATGGCCACAAGGAACGAAAACATCCTTGAATCCACTGCTGTAAAATATTCTGTCACTGTAAAGTTAATTTATAGTTGGAATGTTTCTTGTTAGAGCCACCTGCCATTAGTCTTTTAACATTGTCCTTTTCTTTGTTCAACAGTGATTACCTTTCAGAGGAAATCATTGCATCATTTGTGGTTAGGCTAAATTACTCTGAAATATCCTTTTCAATCATATTTGGGGTGTGTGAAAGCATATCTGCTTTGGCATCTGAGTGCCTAAGCTATGTAGAGCTGCAGATCGAGATCCATTGTGATCTCTTCAACTCATCACAGACTTGTCTGAACATCCAAATTAACTAAAGCAGGATGGACAAGAAAAAGGAGAAGTAATTTGTGTCCACTTGAAATTATTTTCAGAAGGTTGACCGGTTGAAGATGTTGAGGTAAAAATGTGGAGAAAAATAATATTTGTAAGTGTGTATTTGATTTAATACAGGGGGTTTTACATATCAGAGGAGCTTTCTTTAATGGTGACCATCACCTGAGAAGCTAAGTCTGTCAGGATTTTTAGGTCCATAAACACTGTCAAATTGACATCTGAATCTTCATTTGTTTTGAAACCCATTGTTTCACTATTGTTCAGATCACCTTTTCCATTCAGTTCAGTTCTGTTCAGTTGCTCAGTCGTGTCCAACTCTTTGCAACCCCATGGACTGCAGCACGCCAGGCCTCCCTGTCCATCACCAGTTCCCAGAATTTACTCAAATTCATGTCCATCAAGTCAGTGATGCCATCCAACTATCCCATCCTCTGTTGTCCCCTTTTCCTCCCACCTTCAATCTTTCCCAGCATCAGAGTCTTTTCCAATGAGTCAGTTCTTTACATCAGGTGGCCAAAGTATTGCAGTTTCAGCTTCAGCATCAGTCCTTCCCATGAATATTCAAGACTCATTTCCTTTAGGACTGACTATTTGGATCACCTTGCAGTCCAAGGGACTCTCAAGAGTCTTCTCCAACACCACAATTCAATTTCCATTCATATTCCTGATATTTCTGTGTGATACTTTTGCATACTCTCCATCTTGTATTTTGTTTCACCCACCACTAGCCCTTGGTAGCAGCAGGTCTGGGGGACCATGCTGTGTCCTGTGTCTTAATTTCCAACTTCTGATTGGATCAGAAATGGGTATCTGACCCAAGGGTGACTCATCCAGTAAGCGGCCTGCAAGAAATCAGTCTTGCACTCTTGAGAATGTGAACTAGGTGACCCCAAATCTCTGATACCTAATGGATTGTGCTAGGAGATGGTTGCCATGTGGATTGCGTGCTGGTGGAGGAATCTGTGGTAATACAGAGTGGTCCAACAGAGAGACACTATGGTTCCTGGTAGTCAGAGACCAGGTTAGTTTCCATTAGGGACTGGCTGCATTTAGATGTTGCATCCATGAGATTACCTTTTAAATTCTTAAAATCTTTTCTCCTCCTTCATTTGATTTGATTGACTTAATAATTTTTCTGAGGTCTAATATTTCATGAATAGAATACATCAGTGAACTACCAAAGTAGACAGAAAAATTACCCCATGACAACTTGTGATCGTTTATACTGTATCTTGTATTCCTATCTCAGCCTGTGATACATAGTCAATAATTCTTTATTAAATATATATGAAATAATAGTGCTTAGTGCAGATGACATCTAATTATTTCTCCTTGCTTTATAGCTATATATAGTGATACGTCTTCTTCAAGCTTGATTATTTTATATTTTGAAAATGTCTAATGTATGAATCAGCATTTGAATAATATAAGCAATTTACTGATATTTCACTGCAGACAATACAATACTTCCACTGTTCTTTTTTTTGTCATAACCTAGTTGTTTGCTCAGCTTCAGAAATGCAGCTTTAACAATTCAAGTCTTTATTAAGGGTGATAGACTAACCTAGTTAGCGCATCAAAGGGAATGTTTAAAAATAAATGAAATAGAATATAAACAGTTTTTGAAAGAGGAGAACAAGCAAAGAAATCTGTGATATTGTTTCCTACTTCTTAGGGATACTAGGGAGAGGTAAGAGAGTTTCTTAGAGGAAATGAAACAAAATCAAAATTGTTTTTAGATTTTACTTTTTACATAAATGGTAAAAGTGACATATGTATAGTTTGGTTCTCCTCTTTATTGGTATTAGGATATTGCTCCATCTTATTCATAAGACCTCTTTCCTGATAGGTACATTGACAGTTTAAACTTAATGAAAAGATGTTGTTAGTATGCATTTAACAACAGCCAACTCGGTTGTGTTGTTGTTGTTTACTCACTGAGTAGCATCCGACTCTTTGTGATCCCATGGGCTGTAGCCTCCCAGACTCCTCTGTCCAAGGGATTTCCCAGGCAAGAATACTGGGGTGCTGCGAATTCCTTCTCTAGGAGATCTTCCCATCCCAGGGATTGAACCCACATGTCCCCTTGGCAGGTGGATTCTTTACCACTGAGCCATGTTGGAATCCCATAACAGCCAACTTTATAATAGTCGATCAAATTATAAATCATGAATGAGAGTGCTGAGAATTTGGAGAATCTGGAGATAACTATTGTTGCAGCAAAACAACTTCTGCATCCTTGTATCTGGAGTATAAGTAGCTGCAAATAGGAACATTGTGACACCTGAAACTCTTCACAGAGTTTTCTATGTACCTTTATCACCTTCCTCTCTCAGCTTTCCTCGCTAGTTTCAGTCGAAACCTTTCCAAACTGTTGGATCCTTCTCTCTTCTACCACCTGAAAGTTTCCATACCTTCTCCCTAGTTCCCCAGAACCATGCAGTTCTGAGTCAGGAATCTGATTTATATAGAGGCGGGCCTTTATTTAGGGTCACGACCAAATCCTTCTGGCTAATAGCCCACTTCTGCCCTCTGGCCAGTCACAGCTGCTTGCTTCTCACCCCCTCCTCAGGCTGAGACCTGTCGAGTTGGTCTTATTTTGGCTGCCCTAGGAGCCACCTGATCCCCTGCCAGAATGGGGCCCTGCAGTGCCCATGCCCTTGTCGTTATACTCATAGACCCCTGGAGCAGCATTTTAACTCATCTCTTTGCCTGCATCTTGCCCAGATCCATCCTCTATGTAGTATGAGACTGAACTGTGTAACACATAGATTAGAACTATGTCTGTGAAGGACCCATCCTCACTTCTGCCATTTCATAAATATGCCACTTTCCCATCTTATATGGCCATAGGTATGTGATCCCTTCCATCTAGAATAACCAACCTCTCTTACCTGGTCACCTGCTCCTATGGATCTAGTTACCCAGCACAGAGCTCACATTCTTTTGAATGTCTTCTTGATTAGTTCAGATTGGACCAGGTGTCCCTTCCTTTGCAAATCATTGGAATGATTGACAAAGTTTTGGAGATGGGACTCTATTAACCCTCCCAGAAATTCCTTGCCTCAGAATGTTTTAGCTTTCAGTCAGAGCACATGGGGGATTTTCTCAAGTGCTACTGAGGAATTTGACAGATGTCTACTTAAATTTAAAACAGATGTCTACTCATATCTCTTGATTCTCATGGGCAGCCAGAACATAACGGGAGAGAAATCCAACTCAAATAATAGTTGGGTCAATCTTATATTCAGTTCAGTCACAGAGTCGTGTCTGACTCTTTGTGACCCCATGAACTGCAGCACACCAGGCCTCCCTGTCCATCACCAACTGCCAGAGTCCACCCAAACCCATGTCCATTGAGTTGGTGATGCCATCCAACCATCTCATCCTCTGTCGGCCCCTTCTCCTCCTGCCTGCAATGTTTCCCACCATCAGGGTCTTTGCAAATGAGTCAGCTCTTCACATCAGGTGGCCAAAGTATTGGAGTTTCATCTTCAACATCAGTCCTTCCAATGAACACCCAGGACTGATCTCTTTTAGGATGGAATGGTTGGATCTCCTTGCAGGACAAGGGACTCTCAAGAGTCTTCTCCAACACCACACTTCAAAACCATCAATTCTTTGGCACTCAGCTTTCTTCACAGTCCAACTCTCACATCCATACATGACCACTGGAAAAACCATAGCCTTGACTAGACAGACCTTTGTTGACA